CCCGTGTACGACTCCTCTCTCTGTCCAGAGCCGTTTTCCTCTTTCTTGCCTGCTCCGACATGGGCTTTCGCTGTTTTCTCGCTGGTTCCGCCATGATAACTGCACAAATATCGCCACTGTGCTAGCAACGAGCATGCCTTTCACTGGAGGAGATTCCAGGAGACAGACAGTTACTCCAGGAGAGCGTCACAGGGCCGTAGAAGATCTACAACCCATCAGCAGGACCGCTGTCTGCTGATGAATCCCGTTCAACAGCTGCCTCTTTGCGTGTAGCAGTTCTCGCCGTAAAGCAAGACCGACTCTCGCGATGTACGAGACTTCTGAGCCTGTGGGTGCGGGCCGAGGGCTCCTGCAATTGCAAGTACGGTATTTCCCCTACAGACCACCAGGGCGGCCGAGAAAACCTTTGTTTGACCTGAAATGACTCATTTAATCATCCAAAACGTTATGGAACACATTAATTAACTGAAAAATGTTGCATAGTGTGCCTTTAAGCAGCTGAAACTGATTAACAACCCCCTCTGCTATTTACCTGACCAAATCAATATCCCACAAGTTTAATTAACTTGATGCTATACTCTGATTACAAAGTGTTCCATTAATTATTTTTGACTAGTGTAGACAGAAGAATGTTTTTGTTATTTGCTTTTTTTGGAGCAATGAAGATTTTATTGATCTGATTGTAATTCATAATTAATTGTCATTCCTTTATTGTACATTTTGTTAGATTGTCTGTCTGCTATATTAATCAATATTATGTGTTGAACTAAATCTGCTATTTTCACAGCTTTTGTGAGACACTTTTGTATAAAGTAGGGCATTCTACATTATACAAACAGACACACAACCATGGCACTTTAGAGAAGCCAACTGACCGAACAGTCTTGCTGCTGGAATGGCAGCAAAAGGTGGTTCACAAAATACTGACTGAGTGGGGTCAATGCTTTTGCACAACTACCTTTTCAGATTGAGAATTAAGGTAAAGAAAAGAAAGAAATAATGTTTTATTGTATTGTTTCACTTTCTTTGGCCTTTGACACAAAATAACATAAGATATATTTTTGGTTTTTGGTTGTAATGTGAAATGTGAAAAGGTTTAAGGGGTGTCAATACTTTGGCAAGTCACTACATATAGTTTCATATTCTGTCAGAGTAATGGTCATCTTTAATTCAGACTATAAACTGTGTTAATGCTAGTTAAAAAAAAAAAAAGAAAGTAAAATCCGCTGTGAAGCCACAGCCCAACCGTGTCTTGTAGTAATTATCCATGGTGGCTGGAAGCCATATTTGATCACTCACAGAACCAGTGTGTGTTTCAAGGAAAGCCAGTGTTTTACAGTTACTCTCTACTACCCTCTTTTCATGAGAAAACCCTCCTTTGAGTACACAAACAATTATCGCTGAATGACATGGTCAGGGGGACTGAAAGGAATCAGAAAGGAGAATCTGAAGATCATTAGAAACAAAACTTGTTTCCATCTGAGGCGAAGGGATAAATCCTTGCTGTGTGTTCTGCTCAAGAAAGGGTAACTTTTTGTTCAGATAGCTACAAATCTGACACAAAAGCACACACTTCTTTTGTGGAAAAAAGCTCTTACAGGAGCCAGTTGTTGAAACAGAGATTTCATCTACATTAACCTCAACGATAAGCCAGAAAGGAATGATGAATGGATAAATACCTAAAACTCATTTGTGCTGATTTAATGAGTTCAGCACTAATCAGTAAAAAAATAGAAATAATAACTTTTGTCGCGATCATTGAGTCTGGGAGCGGCCATTTTTGCCCAAATATAGTAACCCCTCCCTCCTGCCATCTTCCAGCAGTGACATCACGGTGCGGTAAGCCTAGCGCCATTCTCCCCGCTTTACAAGCAAAATCAATGGGAACTACTAGACACATCTGCAATCAACAACAATTATTGAAGATTTCCAGAGGACTTCACCATTGAAATTCACCAGAGCTATAGTGAAACTGACAATGCCCACGTGCATGGCAGCTGGATGCTGGAATACATCGGGTAAAAGTGGGAAAAAAAAGAGTTATTTCACCTTTCTGATTCCTGATCCTCCACGGACGGGTTGGTCGTTGGATCGCCAACTTGAAGAGGGAGGATTTGCCATCGAACTTCTGGCCAGAGAAAAAACCCGTAATATGTAGCCAACATTTGGAAGAAGAATGTTTTCAAGATGACTTGGATAATAGCGCGTTGTTACAAACACCAGATACAGCACTGGGGCTTGATCAACAGCCGATACCGCACCATGACGTCACTAACCAGTAGGTGGCAGTAGTGTTCTTTGACAAACATGGATGCCTCCAGTAAAGCACATTCACATGAAAATTACTCTGAATTAAAAACGCTGATCATTTATTGAACAGGATGGAATCATTTCATATTTAAAGAACTTTCAGAAGTTGGAATTCTGAATATGAGCGAACTTTTCCTTTATTGAAGCCAAAACGACAAGTAACGACTCCCCTCTTTTCTATTTTCAAAATGCCTATGAGAGTAAATATTTCTTCTTTAATTCTTAAACCTAATTATTCTGAATGTTTTTGGCATTTTTTTCTTTCAGTAGACTGTATATCACACAGTAAAGCTACGCCCCCTTATATTTAGCCGAATGCGTCTCCCCTTAACTGTCTGGTAAATGGTTTTCAATATGTGCTTTTTTTTTAAAAATCCCTTGAATTGATTAAATGTTTATTCTATGTATTAATTACCTAGATTGACCAGGGGTCATATTTTGTTTTACCTCAGCACTTATTTTATACTCTCTTAACCCCAGTGACAGGCTAGAACAATACGTTTTTCACTGCTGAGGATTTGCTAAACATAGTGGCGGCTCATAAGGGGACCTGGTTAGTGTAAAAAATAAAACTTGATGGCATTATCAAAGCAGATCTACTAACCAGCCACAGCCAGAGCTGCATCTGTGTCAGGAGCAAAATAGTATTTTGACTTCATGAATATGCAAAACATATGTTGAACTATAGGACATGCAAAGAGATTGAAGTATGATATTCAAATGTAATTTTAATTTTTTTAACCTGAAACAGATCAAATTTTTACATCTATATTTAGCACATTTTCAAAGTGAAGTACAAATATGTCAGCAATCATTGTAGCATTTAGATCCAACAACAGACAATAATGAGTCTGTGCAGATGTGAATATATATATATATATATATATATATATATATAACAAAAAAAAATAACAAAAAATGTTATATGTATATATATATCTATATATATTGTTATATATATATATATATCTATATCTATATCTATATCTATATCTATATATATATATATATATATATATATATATATATATAACATTTTTTTTTGTTATTTTTTTTGTTTTGTTTTGTTTTCTGGTTGTCACCAATAGTAACAGTAGAATGGTTTTAATTAATCAAATATTGAATATGGAAGGAATAATTCTGTATGAGGAATACAATCTTAATACATTTAAAACAACATGAAAAAAACATTAAAACTGAACTTACAGTTATATAAACGATGAGTATTGAAGGCTGCCAGACTATAGAAAACCTTCGTTTCCCTGTAAATCTTGACTGTAATTTCCTTTACTAATGTTTGTGAAAAGCTCACTTTTTCCAGTTTTGATTATCGATATTTAAACCTTCAACTACTATTGTTTTCATGTTTTGAGATGTTTTTACTTTAAGGTTATACATTTTAAGTGCATTATAAATTGTGCTAATTGTTATTATTGTTATTTTTATTATTACCCTTATTACCTCCAGCTCTATAGCTTGTTATCTCATTTTTCTTTTATGTCCATCCTGCTCTTAATCTAATGCTGGCACATGCAAATAGAGCAGTGGGAATCGCTTTTGCACCTGTTATCCATTATCCATGTCTTATCTATGTAGATCACCCAGGACACGCCCACTAATTGTACATGCAGCCTTTTTTTTCTTTTACAAACAATTTAGCACTGCTTATATGGAAACTTTGAAGATCAGGCTCTCAGTGGGTTAAGATTGGGACCAGGAAAGGTGAAAAACAATCCTAGCATCAAAAAACATTTGCAATCCGTTCTGCTTGTCCTTTTTAATCATCTCTGTAAAAAAATAAAAATACTTGTATATCTACCTTATTACTATTGATTGGTGGAATTTATGACTATATATGGTGATATAGTAGAGAGAATGGAAGAAAGGGGGGAAAAAAGTCTAACAGCACACTGTGCCAAAAAGTACTAAACTGATAAATTTGATATTTAGGCAAAAACTTGTACATTAACAATAACTGCCTTTGTTTCTTTCTTTTGATAGAAAGGGTAGATGTAAAGTCTATGTTGAAGCTCCTTTTTTAGCTTCTTGACTGCCAAACTCATTATCATGGTACATACTGCAGCTTCTACTTTTCCTCAGATCAGCTCTCTATGGGGGCTCCTGCATACTCGCTACCCCAATTCTATCTCATCCCTTGGGGGGGAAAAAAATAAATACACTCGTCATACCCCCCGCGTACAAAGACTTCGCTGAAACGCTTCTCTTGTTTGCTCCTAACTGGTTCCAGGAGGCCTTAAAATGCAGTTGGTAATGATTTAAACAAGAGAACTAGCCCCTCTTCTGCTCTCTCACGCTGCACTTAGCTTCTCATGTTCAGCTTTTTATTGTTGGAGCAAAAAAAAAATGGCATAAAGTTTGTGATGGATTCTCTTCAGCCCTCAGGTTGATTTTTAGATTCAAGAAGGTGAGAAAAGCAGGCAGATTTATAAAGGGAAGAATTGTTGGCTCCCCTGCCTGTTAGTTGACCCCAGATTCTCCAATGTCTGAGGCGATTTGACTTTCTCCCCCTGACAATTTTAAAACCTGTAAAAAGTGATGGTAACATACTCTCAACTCACTTTGAAATCTGCTCTAGATGGTCTGTAGACCAACAACACCAGTGCTTTGCGTTAGTATGCCAAACAAATGTTAGAATACACCTTAATTTTCTGTGTGTTTGTATATTCCAGGAAAGAGTCTTCTGCAGCATCCAGTCAACTGCAGGTTCCCCACCACCGTATAGATGCGAAAAAAGGAGCTTCAACAGAAATGTCTGCAGCTGAAGACCTGTTTGAGGATATCTGACTCTGTTCCATAACTGCATCGGTTACTCCTGTTAAAATTGACTTGTTTTGAAATCAACCTGAAGAAATTATGTCGATATTTAACCTGTTATTTGACCTGCAGCCACAGTGGGGTCTTTGATATATTTTACTACTAAAAATGTACTGAAGCTCTGAGTTGTCTAGATTTACTGTAAATTGGAATGTTGAATAAAGAAAATATACAAAATATAATTTTAAAATGTGTACTACTCTATGAGCACTGTGCTTTTATACACTGTCATGCTGATACTGATTATCAGTTTGTGAACAGAGTACATAAACAGTGACAAATGTCTGCTTTCTGGGCATTTTTTTTACCCTCATTTTTGAATAATTGATTATATTAATTACATTCTATTTCAGTTTAATCACTAACAAGAATTTGATCAAATATTTGTGAAATTTCTGTAACTTAAAGAAGAACATGAATGTTTTCCATCTGTATATAATTATACTTTACATTCCCTAAACAAAAATAAGTTAATTAAATGATAATTTAATGAAATAAAATATTGATTCTGAATTTTTTACCTTGCTCATGAATAGTGAAACAACATCCTCACAACAGATGCAGAAGTCTGACTGATCATTTCCTGAACGTTACAGGAAACTTGCTCATCAAAATTCTTGTTCAGGAGCTACATGGTGCTTGTTTTATTCATTAATATAAATATATATATATATATACATGCACTACTGTTCAAAAGTTTGGGGTCATATTGAAATTAACTTGGTTTATGTTACATTTCCGGTCCTCATCTATAGTAAAACAAGTAAAACACATCAAAAGCCCCCTTTTTTTTTATTAACCTGGGCATGAACCAAACATTTATCACAATGATCAGCCAATTTAAATCAAATTAACTGATTAACACACTCACCATAACACAGGGCAGCTGAGACCAGTTCTGATAACTTCCTCATCTTTTTTAGAATGGCTGTGCTCCGCTCCTTATCTATACATTAACAGCTGTCAATCAGTTAAAAAATAAAACATTCAAATGTTTGGGGTCACATTGAAATGTCCTTATTTTTGAAGAAAAATCACTGTACTTTTCAATGAGGATAACTTTAAACTAGTCTTAACTTTAAAGAAATACACTCTATACATTGCTAATGTGGTAAATGACTATTCTAGCTGCAAATGTCTGGTTTTTGGTGCAATATCTACATAGGTTTATAGAGGCCCATTTCCAGCAACTATCACTCCAGTGTTCTAATGGTACAATGTGTTTGCTTATTGGCTCAGAAGGCTAATTGATGATTAGAAAACCCTTGTGCAATCATGTTCACACATCTGAAAACAGTTTAGCTCGTTACAGAAGCTACAAAACTGACCTTCCTTTGAGCAGATTGAGTTTCTGGAGCATCACATTTGTGGGGTCAATTAAACGCTCAAAATGGCCAGAAAAAGAGAACTTTCATCTAAAACTCAACAGTCTATTCTAGTTCTTAGAAATGAAGGCTATTCCATGCGAGAAATTGCTAAGAAATTGAAGATTTCCTACAACGGTGTGTTCTAGTCCCTTCAGAGGACAGCACAAACAGGCTCTAACCAGAGTAGAAAAAGAAGTGGGAGGCCGCATTGCACAACTGAGCAAGAAGATAAGTACATTAGAGTCTCTAGTTTGAGAAACAGACGCCTCACAGTTCCCCAACTGGCATCTTCACTAAATAGTGCCTGCAGTAGCCTGTTTGTGCTGTGCTTTCTAAGAACAAGAACAGACTGTGGAGTTTCACCTGAAAGTTCTCTTTTTCTGGCCATTTTGAGTGTTTAATTGACCCCACAAATGTGACGCTCCAGAAACTCAATCTGCTCAAAGGAAGGTCAGTTTTGTAGCTTCTGTAACGAGCTAAACTGTTTTCAGATGTGTGAACATGATTGCACAAGGGTTTTCTAATCATCAATTAGCCTTCTGAGCCAATGAGCAAACACATTGTACCATTAGAACACTGGAGTGATAGTTGCTGGAAATGGGCCTCTATACACCTATATAGATGTTGCACCAAAAACCAGACATTTGCAGCTAGAATGGTCATTTACCACATTATATGTATAGAGAATGTATAGAGTGTATTTCTTTACAGTTAAGACTAGTTTAAAGTTATCTTCATTGAAAAGTACAGTGCTTTTCCTTCAATAATTTCCTGCAGTGTGTGCTCGAATTACATAGGGACACACTTCAGCCTCCCCGGTAAGGTTTACTCCAGGGTGCTGGAGAGGAGGATCTGGCTGATGGTCGGACCTCAGATCCAGGGGGAACAATGCGGTTTTCGTCCTGGTCGCAGCACACTGGCCCAGCTCCAGAGATGGGAAGTAACGAAGTACAAATACTTCGTTACTGTACTCAAGTAGTTTTTTCTGATATTTTTACTTTACTTTACTACTTAATTTTGTGGCGACTTTTTACTTCTACTCCTTACATTTTTACACAAATATCTGTACTTTCTACTCCTTACATTTTAAAAAATTGGCTCGTTACTTTAGTTTTGAATCATTTCAATGGAGTTACCGTTATTATTTTTCACCTCATCAATACCAAATTCAATCTAATTGGATGGGAATCTACGTTGCATTTGACGCACCACTACAAGATGAATCGACAGATTTGGCGGTATTCATTTGGCAGCAAATCATTGCAGCTTGGTGGCGGTGGCGTTAGCATAGTAGCATGGACGACGAGATAATTGAAAATGAACACAACAGAGATCTAGTCCTATTGGCAGACATCCATTTAAAATGTAGGCAACAGCAAGAAAAAAGTGGTTTCTACTTTTACTTTTATACTTTAAGTAAATTTACAAGCCTGTACTTTATTACTTTTACTTGAGTTAAGAAGTTTAATCAGTACTTCCACTTTTACCAGAGTATTTTTTAACACAAGTATCTGTACTTTTACTCAAGTACGGAAAGTGAATACTTTTGCCATCTCTGCCCAGCTCTATACCCTTCATATGGTGCTTGAGGGTTGGTGGGAGTTCGCTCAATCAGACCACATGTGTTTTGTGTATCTGGAGAAAATGTACGACTGTGTCGCTCCTGGTGTCCTGTGGGGGGTCCTCCTGGAGTATGGGGTCTGGGGCCCTCCGTTAAGGGCTGTCCGTTCTCTGTATGTCCACGGCAAGAGCTTGGTTCACATTGCAGTAAGTCAGACCTGTTCCAAGTACATGTTGGTCTCTGCCAGGGCTGCCCTTTGTCACTGGTTCTGTTCATTACATTAATGGACAGAATTTCTAAGTGCAGCAGCGGACCGGAGGGTGTCCGGTTTGGGAACCTCAGGGTATCAACTCTGCTGTTTGAAGATGATGTTTTCCTGTTGGCCTCATCAAACCAGGATCTTCGGCGTGCACTGGGGCAGTTTGCAGCAGAGTGTGAGGGATGGGAAAGAGGGGTCCCTATGTCCTCCAGCAGTCTAAGCCTATAGCAGCATAACTATAGATATAGCTCAGGATAACCTGAGCCACTCTAACTAGAAGCTTTATCAAAAAGGAAAGTTTTAAGCCTAGCCTTAAAAGTAGACAGGGTGTCTGCCTCACAGACTAAAACTGGTAGTTGGTTCCACAGGAGAGGAGCCTGATAACTAAAAGATCTGCCTCCCATTCTACTTTTAGAAATTCTAGGAACCACTAGTAAACCTGCAGATTGAGAGCGAAGTGCTCTGTTGGGAACATAAGAAACAATCAGATCTCTGATATCAGATGGAGCTTGGCCATTTAAGGCTTTATATGTGAGAAGGAGGATTTAAAATTCTATTATAGATTTACCAGGAAGCCAATGAAAATGAGCTAGTATTGGAGAGATATGATCTCTCTTTTTCATTTTCATCAGAACTCTGGCTGCAGCATTTTGGATCAGCTGAAGGCTTTTAATAGTAAAGAATTACAATAGTCCAGCCTTGAAGTAACAAATGCATGGACTAGTTTCTCAGCATCACCCCTGGACAGGAGATTTCTAATTTTTGCAATATTCCTCAGATGAAAGAAGGAAATTCTAGAAACCTCTTTGATATGGGATTTAAATGACAGGTCCTGATAAAAAATAACACCAAGATTTTTTACTTTATTATCTGAAATCAGTTTAATCCCATCCAAATGAAGTGACTGGCTAATCAGCCTCTTTTTCAAAGACTATAACTTCTGTTTTGTCTGCATTCAGAAGCAGAAAGTTAAGAGTCATCCAGGTTTTCATGTCTTCAGACATGCCTGTAATCTATGTAATGGGTTAGCTTCATCTGGATTTATAGACAGATATAGCTGGGTATCATCAGCATAACAGTGGAAATTAATCCCATGCTGTCTAATAATTCTACCAATTGGGAGTATATAAATTGTAAAGAGAAATGATCCTAGCACTGATCCCTGTGTTACTCCACAGGTAACCCTGAACATGAGAAAGATTTATCAATGACATGAACAAACTGAAATTGATCAGATAGATACTATTTATACCAGTCTAGCACTTTTCCTTTAACTTCTACAAAATATTCAAGTCTTTCTAAAAGGATGCTATGATCAACAGCGTCAAATGCAGATCTAATAGGAAAAGTACAGATACAAGTCCATTATCTGAGGCCATGACAATATCATTAGCGAATTTCCCCAGAGCTGTTTCTATGTCTCTGAGCTGGCTGGTGTCTCCTCACGGTCCCCCGCAGAGCGGCTGGAGGAAGTGTGTGTGCGGATCAGGAAGCCTGAGCATCCCTGCTTAAGCCACTGTGCAATTTTTTTTGCCCTTTTTGGGCCGATTCTGCAGTCATGAAAGAATTTTTCAACGGGGCCGACCTTTAGATGGATAGTGCGTCGTGTAGTGTACACGGGGTAACGAGGGGCGATCAGCCTCTCACGACCACCTCCCGATCAGGAATCGTAAGGTCAGGAGAAAATCAAACATGTTTGAAATTCAGTCAGCCGTTATAAGATCGCATCAGAGCATCGAGCTGCATAGAGCTGTTAGCTTTTAAACCCTGCGGTTTCATTGTACAGTGTGAGCTGTGGCTGGGTGGAACGACTGAAAATATGGCACAGTGTATGCCCAGCTTTAGACTGCTGCCTCCACAACCCGGCCCTGGATAAAGCAAAAGAAAATAGATGGATGGATCTCTTAAAATGTATTACCGTATGCTATGCAATCGTCATTTACAGCACTTCAAATTGCCTTGCTACACATAGAGGACCCAACCATTGAATGCACCTACTGAATTTTGGCTGTATCTATTGAATGAAAGCTTCGCAAGTTTTGATTGACTTCAACCTACTCATGTTTTTGCAAGTTATGTGGTAATAACCCACACTCCCCACCATGGACTCCATCTGTGGTGATAATGGGTCACTCTCCTCCCTCCCGACACTCTCATCAGCTGTAAGAGCTGTTGTGTTCTTTGGCCCCTCCTTCTCCTTCTGAGCAAAAGTATCAAATTACATTTACACCAGGGCCTAATTATTACCTAATTATCTCTGAGGTACAGTATATATAATGTGTGCTTGCATCTTGATAAGTTTTGTTTGGTTGTTAATTACATCTTTATTTTAGGGTGGTTCGAAAAGCTCTCATGATGACCAAAAAATTGAGTCAAGTGAAGTTGCCTGGTGTGGCAGAGCCATGGCCTCACCCTGCAGCCAGGCCTGGGGTTGGGGTTAGTTGGAGATTATTGTTGTAGAAGTACAGACTGGTTTCTGGAATCCAGCTCCTAGAGAAAAGGTGGATTTCTTTCTAATCCAGAGTGGTTGTTGTACAGATTCAACAGGTGAAGTATTGAGTCGTGATGGTCTCCTAAAAATGTCTGAAGTATCCCTTGGTCATGGATGTAATCAACAATCAATACTGGGTGAGGTTCTTTCAGGTTCCAGGTGAGACTGAGGACGTAGTGTCTGAGTGGAAAATGTTCTCTTTAGATGACGGCAGCAACCCTGGACACCAGCAGTAGGGTTGCTGTCAAGCTTGAGTCCTGTGAAGCCCGTTTGGCTCATGGAGCCCCTGAGGCAGCAGGGAGCTACAGTGAGAAACAGTGTGTCACTGCCCGAGAGATTACAGAGGCGGCCATGGAGAAACACTATTGGTCTGCATAAAAAGGATTCTGCCAAACTGCCCGATGCTTATGCAGGGTGGAAGCATTGCTTCACTAATGCTGACCTTGACTGAGGACTTTTTGGACAGTGGAACGAAAACTTTAAATGTTCTACTGAACCAGGCTATAACTCCTTGGACACCAGAAACAGAGACTGAACTTATTCATAACCCAGGTCAGAGTCAAAAGAGGTTTATAAAGAACTTTTTGGTGTTTAGAGCACTGAGATTTTTATAATCAATTCAAAAATACATTTTTAATCCCAAAGGATAATTAAAAGTTAAAGAAACTCTTCTGCCTTTCTTCAACAAGTTGTAGTAGATGTGGATGGCTGAATGCAGAAAGGAGTTTTAATATGGATATATATATTTCTGATATATAGTTTAGACGGTGTGGTACATGGACTACAACACACCCTCCCCCCCCGGTAGATGCAGCAAACACTGACTTCCTAAATGAACTGAACAGCTTCTTTGGAAGGTTTGAGGCACTAAACAGCCTCCGGCAGTGAAACCTGTTCCACACCAGGGGGAGGAGGCACTAAACCTGGACGTAGCTGAAGAGAGGAAAACTCTGAGGAGAGTCCAAGGAAGGCCCCAGGGCCTGATAACATACCTGGGCAGGTATATAAGGAGTGTGCAGATCAGCTGGCTGGTGTCCTCACAGACAATTTTAACACCTAGCTGGACCGATCTGTATTGCCAGCATGTTTCATGTGTGCCAGCATTATTCCAGTCCTAAAGAAGCCTCAGGTCACCTCACTCAATGATTAGCGGCCTGTCGCTCTGACTCCCATCATGATGAAGTGCTGCTAAAGGCTGGTTAAAGAACATTTCGTCTCCAGTCTCCCTCCAATATTCAACCTGTTACAGTTCGCCTACCGAAGGAACCGCTCCACTGAGGACGCCATCTTCTCTGCTCTTCACCTGATCCTAGCTAACCTGGAGGAGAAGAACACCCATGCTGTTCCTGGACTTCAGTTCAGCTTTCAACATCATCATCCCACAGCAGCTGATGGGCAAACTGGAACAGCTGGGCTTCAATACACCCCTCTGCTATTGGCTGCTAGACTTCCTCACCAACAGACCTCAGTCAGTCCGGGTCGGACAAAACACCTCTGATGTCATCAGTCTAAGCCCCTCCCCTCAGGGCTGCGTCCTGAGCCCCCTGCTATTCACCCTGATGACACACGACTGCGTCCCCAGGTTCACCACCAATCACATGGTGAAGCTCACAGATGATACCACGGTGCCTGGCCTCATCAGAGACGACAACGACCTGGACTACAGAGAGGAGCTACAGGTGGGCTGGTGCAGAGACAACAACCTGATCCTGAATGGGGAGAAGACGAACTAGATCATCGCCGACTTCAGGAAGAGAGCTGTACTGAACGAAATTTCTTTGTTTTTTTACACTCGGTGTGTACAAAATGACAATAAAGTCTGTATAAGTCTAAGGTATTCAGCCTGGCCGTGGAACAGTGAACCAACTCTATACGCTACAGGGTTCTTGTTTCTTGGGAGTTTGCCCACATATGTTTTGCAGACTTGTAGAAGGCATTTGGGGTTCGTTCCTGGCTCAAGAGGAGGAGTTCAAGTGTATTGGGCTCCAGAAATGAAGCGGGAGAGTGATGGACATATTTTGCTGATAAAGATAGAGGGATTGGTGCGGCTGCTTCTATGATGCAGATGCTGCACTGGTCTCTCATGGTGAAGAGGTAGCTGAGTGAAAAGGCAGAGCTCTTGATTTACCGGTCGGTCTGTTTCTACCCTCACCTATGGTCATGAAATCCGGATCTGGACTGAAAGAATGAGATCTGGATACATGCTGCTGAAATGAGCTTTCTCTGCAGGGTGGCTGGGCTCTCCCTTAGAGAGAGGCTGAAGAGCTTGGTCATCAAGAGGAGGCTCAGAGTAGAGCTGTTTCTCCTCCAAATCGAGAGGATTCAGGTTGGACATCTTTTTCAGATGCCCCCTAGGCGCCTCCCTCAGGAGCTGTTCCAGGTATATCCTGCTGGGAGAAGGCCCAGGACATGATGGAGGGACTATGTCTTCGCCTAGCAGAGCCGAGGTGTCTGGGGAGTGGGAACTCTGAGGGTTTCTAAAATATATATATATATATATATATATATATATATATATATATATATATATATATATATATATATATATATATATATATATATATATATATATATATATATATGTATGTATGTGTGTGTATAAAATATACCTATAAAGAAGTTAAGGTGCTATTTTCTGCTGCGAAGGGAAGCAGAAATAGTAAGTGATCAGTTTTGAGGATATTATTTACTGAAATGTGTTTTCTATTTTTTTTTTTTTTTTGGTGTCCTTGATTTTTTGTAAAACATACAGACCCCACCTTTTAATGTGTCTGTTTTTTTTAGTCTTTAACTTTTTTTTTCTCCTGTGACTCACCACTACTAATCTCTCCCACTCTGGGTTTCCCCACTTTCACTTCCCCCAAATTTTGCCTCCTCCTTTTTTTCCTCCCTGTCTAAGCTGAGTTGCATCGCTGGTCCAGTGGGCTCCTCCTCTACCTCCAGTTAGATATTAGAGGGTGCAAAGTCAATCTGAACTTGCAACCAGTGCAGAGTGGTGGAGAAGGACGTCTATAAGAGGGGAGCTGCAGGAAGTTTCATTTCCAAAAGTTTTACATGATAAAGCCCTCTGACTTGTTGAACAATAAGGTAAGGTACAACAATTCTGTAAAATTAATACATGTCTTAGACACTGTCATGTATGCAATGTGTTTCAATGCTGGATACATTTTTTTTAAAGGATTTTTTCTAAGGTAATTTTAACCTGAATGATTTTTGTGCTGGTTGTAATTTGTTCCCATGCTGCCATGATTAAGCCTCTAGATAAGCAACACATTAGGAAAACGGACACTGAGGAACAATTATGGCATTTAAATTCACTGGCAGCTTTATCAACCGATCTCTTTATAAACATAATGACTAGGCTGGCCAAGAGCTGCTGATGGGAGTGCTGTTATCACTTTTCTGTAAAAAAAAGAAAAAACCTCAAAGACTCTTTCTGTCGTTATCCGTATCAGTTCCAATACTGTTTATTTCAGTTATTTATTTATCATGATGTTAATACATTTCCTATAAAGTTGTAAAGACTGTAATTAAAAATGGAAATCTTAAAGGAACTGCCTTCAGATTAGTCTTCATTTGATTTGGTTGTACTCATTGGATAATACATTTTTCTTAACATCTAGTTTATATTATATATATATATATATATATATATATATATATATATATATATATATATATATATATATATATATATATATATATATATATATATATATATATATATATATATATATATATATATATATATTTCTTTTTGTTTACATTCGTGTATACAAAATGACCAAAATAAATCTTTCTATGTCTATATGAGCATTATGCAAAAAAAACATGTTCTTCACCCACTTTTAGAATAAATGATAAGCTGTAGTACCTATTTCTATTGATCAGTGTGTCAGAAGTAGCATAAACCGACTCCTTCTGTCTGATTTTTAGAGAAAACACAGTTTGATTTATCAAAAAATCACATCCATGCAGTTTTTGCTGCTATTCTGTCTTTAATATCATTGGTAACATGTCAGGATCTGTACCTTGATCTGTGGATGTGGAGTACGAAGCAACCATTGAGAGAAAGATGAAAATATAACTTTAATGACGTTTTGTACATTTAAAAATTGTTTTCTGAGTTTTTGAAAGAAAAAAAAATCTTTTTATAATTGCACAAAAAACCCATTTCTCCATATTGTGCACTCATTCGTTTAAATCTGTTTGTGTGCATGCCCCGTTTGGCAATATAAGCAACGACCTCAGAGCTGTGAGGTGGATGGTGCAGGTGTTCCTTAGGACAGAGACAGCAACCAGGGTGTCTTCTACCTTCTGCACAAAGCTCTTACTATCCTAATGAAGCCTCAAAGTGTAGAGACGATCTTTGGTTTCTCTGGTAAATTGAAACCATCCAGCTGAGAAACTAGTTGGCCAGGAATGGACCAGCATCTGGCCAGGAATGGACCAACATCTGGCCAGGAATGGACCAACATCTGGCCAGGAATGGACCAACATCTGGCCCGGTGGTTACTGGGTTACCTCACTTGCTGCCCGCAGTATGTCAGGACTTGGTTAAGTTAACCAAGGAGATCCAGCACATATGATGTGTAACCACACCAACCCAGAAGGTCCATATTTACTATCTTCACAGATCACCTGGACAGCCAGTGCAACAAGTGGGTTGCATGTCCATAATTTTTTGTTTGTTTGTTTGTTTTCAGAATTGTCAGAAATGATCTAAGGAAAGCTGTTCTTTTTGCTCTTTGTCCTCATAAAGGTCTTGAACTGACTTAGGTTCACCTTCCTAACCAACTTGAGTTGACAAATGCTCAAATTCAGTAGCGACAGGAGTGGAGAGGTGCTCTCCTCCCGATCTGTGCCAGTTTTTGCTGTCACAGGCAGTATGTAGGCTCTTATGTGGGGGAGATATTTGCTTATGTCAACGCTGCGTCCTATAGAGTAAATTTGATGGTATCAAATGTGTCTGAAGTATCAATGCTTATTACTTAAGTAGAAGTGAAAGTGAAAAAAGTAAAAGTACCATTTTAAAAGTATAAAAGTAAAAGTAATGCAAAAAATAATAATAATAATAAGGACAGAAGCTTTACTGCACTACCTTATTAAAGGAAAATTTTTCCACAATTCTGGATGATAATTTTCTTATACTTTAATTTTGTTACTTTTATAACTAATGCTAACAGTGTGAAATTTAACTTTACATCATCTTGACTATTTACTATTTGCAACTATTTATTCTGGTATCTGGTGAAAAACAGTGGTGCATTACTGAGTCCAACCAAAAAGAAATGTATTGTCTAGAAGAAACATGTTTTTTTATGTTTTGTTTTTTAAAATACCAACAAGCCATAAAGAAAATTAGCTTTAATTAAACGAACCTAACAAGTCTAATTTTAAAATGTAAGGAAAGAAGTAAAAATTTGTCCCAACTAACCCAACTACAGTATAGATAAACAAAATATTTACTCAAGGTAACAAAGTATTTATATTTTGTTACTTGACACCTCTAACTTTAAAGCTGGTGCATTTTATTAATGGCGTTTTGAATTCATTATGAGATTCATTTATTTAACTATTTATCCACAACCACATCCTCACATTTTAGCAAGATAACAAAAAATCCCAGGTTACAAATATCTTTGTACAATTCCTGGAAGCCAAAAATATCCCCGTCAGCCCATAGATTCACTCTGAAGATGTTTTGACAGCATGTTGAATTCTTTTTCTGAAGGCTGTAGTCCCAATTGGACCAGCGTCATTCATATGAGTTTCTGTTGCATAATGACGCCCGTAAGGCTGAAGGTTTCCTGGATATCCTGTTCCTACCCTGGATAGTGTTCTTACCGTATGCGCCATGAAAGGTAAAGGGGGAGCAGCTAGCAGCATGTGGTAGAGGCTGCAATTCGAGAGAGATTTCATTTTGAAATGAACATTTGATTTCTATTTTTTTCACATTTTATTATTAAAAAGTTATGTGACAAAACAAGCCTTTTTCTGCTTGACAAATGTGACAAACTTTACTGTGTTCTGGAAGTCAAACCCTTTTCATAATGGCAGCAATTCTTTGAGGTTAGAAGAGCTTCTTTCCTTCAGTCTAATCTTTAGTTTAAATCAGGCTGAAGTCTGAACTCTGGCCGGGCCTCTCCCAGATGATTAATAGAATAGAATAGAACATAATGAAAAAATCCCTTTTTTGTTCCACAATGGTGAAATAGTGGTGTTTACAGCAGCAGAAGGTTATAGTAGAGAGAGGAACAGAGAGGAAAATTAAAACAAATACAGTATTATACTATACAGTGTTTTTACAATATAAATATTCTGTATCTGGAGAATAAAAACCAGTAGCAGCTGTAGACATTTTAACAGTAACTGATTTATGGAAAATAGGAGCAACACCAGACATGTGCAAAAATCAGCATCAATGTATCAATATTATTATTATATGTAACAATTTCATAAAATATAATGCAAAAATATTAGAATATTGTTCTAATAGCATTAAAAAATGCTGGTAAAATAGGAATAGAAAACTAAAATACACATTTTCAAAAATGTAAGCTAAAATAAAATCCTCCAGTTTTGCTGCTGCGGAGAAATAAACAAATACATCAACATTACTGAGACAGTAGTACGGAAGAGGATTAGGGCCACTGAAAAAAAAAAAAAGTTAACTGATTTTTTTTATTGTATTTCAGTATAGTATGGGAAAAAAGTCTGAATTCTGACTTTAATGTCAGAATTCTTACTTTAATCTCAGAATCCTGACTTTTTTTCTCAGAATTCTGACTTTTTTTTCTCAGAATTCTGAGATTAAAGTCAGAATTCTGACTTTTTTCTCAGAATTCTGACTTTGATCTCAGAATTCTGACTTTTTTTCTCAGAATTCTGACTTTTTTTCTCAGAATTCTGACTTTTTTATTGTCAGAATTCAGTCAGAATTATGACTTTAATCTCAGAATTGTGACTTTTTTCCCATGTTAAACTGAAATAAAATTTAAAAATCAGTTTACTTTTTTTTTTTTTTCAGTGGCCCTAATCCTCTTCCGTACAGTAGCGACTAAGCTCTGTCAGGAAGGATTATTTTATTTTTTTAACCTCATTTGACATTTGTTTTTGTTTCATATTTTTAGGCAAGGCAATTTTATTTGTATAACACAATTCAGTAAATGGACAATTTAAAGTTTTACATAAATTAGATTATAAAACAGAAGCAAAATAAAAGCAAAACCATTTTTAAAACAATTAAAATAACCTTTTTGAAAAAACTAAACAATACAAATAATTTCTGCCTTTCTGTTTGTTTTGTATTAATAATCTGGAATAAACTCAACAATGAAATAAAATAATGTAAAATAATTTAGCCTACAGATATGTTTAAAAGGAATATCATCAATACTTTCATGAGTTTGTATTCAATTCGGTTTATTTCTCAACAACCAACAAGAAATGCTGTGAAATTATGAAATAAGGTTAGAAATACGTCATAAACTAATGATGCTCTGTTTGCTGACTTTCAGTGCTTTCTTACAGATTGGATGGAGATGATTGGACACATCCTCACACACCTGCTCTGTCTTGTGTGCCTCTGCTACACTCATCCTCTGGCAGGTGAGTAAAATCCAGAAATAAATGATTTAATCTTAACATGACCTGAACGCAGCGAGACAAAATAAAACAGATTAACATGTCGGCCAGGCAAAACGTTAAACAGTGTTTGAGTTAAATTTGTTTTATTGATAGAAATGAAATCCGTCCTCCATGTTATCCAGCAGGCGTGTTGCTGTAGAGTCCAGCTCAGCCTTTCTTTGCTTAAAGACACTTTCAGGTGTAATGTTTCCACAAATGAAATAGTTTTGTTTCCACCAAAACAAAGCTAGAAATGTACCATAATTACTGAAAGGGATGATTCATTTAGACCACGAATCAAAAATATGTGTTTCAGTTTAGTTTTGCGGCTTCTGGCAGTTTTAGCCATTTATAATTCTTGACAATGTTGAACAGATTAAAGTGAAGTGATCAGGGCTTAACTGCTCTTAAAACTAGGCAAGAAACTTGGATTTACACTAACTTGGTAAAAGTATTAAATAACTACTTAAGGTATTTCACCTTTCATCAGAATAGTACTTCAAACCTTAGTTTCTCTGTGATGGCAGTCTTGCACACGTTTATGTCCAAAAAGAGGGTTCTTTTATTTAACCCAAAAAATATAAAATGTAACAAATACAAAAATGGATCCAGAAAAGACGTCAAAGGAACCAAAACTACTCAAAATGTCTGTAATAGAATAAAACTAACTCAAACAAATTGACCTTCCTTAATAAGACAAAAGGGAACTTAAATAGTGGCTGATCATTTCAATTAAATTCAGTTTATTTATATAGCGCAAATTAAAAACACATCATCTCAACTTTACAGTTCATTAGTTCATACAGTCTAACTTGAGTGATTTTCCATTCAGTTTATTTCTATATTGCAATTCACAGCACATGTCATTTCAAGGCATTTTACAGTTCAACCAGATCAAACAGTCACATTAATTAAAAGTTTTCTATCTAAGGAAAACCAGCTGATTGCATTGACTCATTGACTCTTCAGCAATCCCTCACACTAAGCATGCTTGTAGCAACAGTGGAGAGGAAAAACTCCCTTTCAACAGGCAGTAACCTCCAGAAGAACCCGGCTCAGTGTGAGCGGCCATCTGCCAAAAATGACCGGACTTTTCCTTTAAAGTGTATTTAGAGAAGGTTCTAAGGTAGCTGCACCTGCAACCATCTACAAAATGTGTCCCATACAAAACACTTCTCCGGCTTAGCCAATCGTTGATGATATTGATTTGGAAATTATGTCGTCTTGGATACAGCTGCTTGGCGGAGCAGAAGGAAGAGTAATTGAAGTGAATCAAACGTGAGCAGCGGTTCCTAAAATGCTGAACTTTCTATATAGTTTTCCAATTTTGGGCGTATAGATAGAGTATTTATAACGAGTCCAGGACTTATGTCCAAAAACAGCCTAACGCCCATTATATGATGCACAAACAGTGTCCTGAGGGGGGCAGCGATGTGTCTGGAGGCGCCTGGCCTGCATAATTAGATGTCTGTGATCGCAGAATTAACCTGCCTGCTGTTTAGCGCCCACCAAAAAAAATGAAAGAAAAAACGAAATAAAGAAGGTTTGCAGTCGCAGCTGGTTGGTGGTCAGTTGGTTGTGGCCATGTGGCTCACCCTGTGATGGGGATGCAGTCCGGAGGAGAACTGACAGTTTCCTCATCCGGGTCCTAGTCATTCCAAAAAAAGAAAAAAACCTTCAAAAAAATCATTTCCCTGGTTATGCACATAGAGTTTGGATAATCTAGACACCACGACTTATGAGTAATTTACAATTAACGTATGTCAACGATCAAATAACTAACCTTATGCACCATGTATGAGCAAACGCTGGCACATGTTGCTGTATGTTGATGTGTGCCAGCGTGCTTCAATGTGCTGATAACTTATACAAAACTGACCCATAACTTATCCAATTGAATTTTTGTCACAGTTTTTGTATGTCAGGCATACATCTAAATCATCAAGATGTGACAGGGGCTTTATCTACAGCTGTGAGGATGAGTATGAATAAGCTCATCGGAAAGAGAATCACTCCTAAAATAGACCCTGGGCTCTGTGCAGATGGTGGAAAACAGAAGGAAAACACTTCATCACTGTTGGACAATGTCTCCAATCACATGGAGCTCCTACAGTCTCAGAGAGAGACGGCTGAATCCTGGGGCTGTTAATGTAGATCCTTTCAGTCAGCAGCTGTCACACTTTAAACCATCTCAGCTCATCTCTGTTCTTATAAAATGTTATTTTTTACAAACTTCGACCAGTTACACATTTTATTTGAACTAAAAGTGCAGTTACTTGCTTTTCTGATGTAGACCTTTTCCATAATTAATTCAATTCAATTTGATTCAAGAATAATTTATTAATCCCAAAGGAAAATTAAATGTTGCAGCAACTCATTAGTTATTTTTTAAACAGGTGTTTTAGGTGTTGATAGCTGTGGGCAGGAAGGATCTTCTGTAGAGGTCTGTCTTGCACCAGATCTGGAGAGGCCTCTGACTGAAGACACTAAAAATCTTCTGAAGATGATGCTCACCGTTGATACACCTGACTTTCCCCATAGCTCTATTCTATTCTATTCTATTCTATTCTATTCTATTCTATTCTATTCTATTCTATTCTATTCTATTCTATTCTATTCTATTCTATTCTGTTCTATTCTGTTCTATTCTATTCTATTCTATTCTATTCTATTCTATTCTATTCTATTTTATTCTATTCTATTCTATTATAGGATGTTCTAAGTAGCAGAGAATTGCAATGAAAGTGTAGTTTTCAGGTCTTAATCACTGAAATTGTATCTCTTCCTTCCCTATCAGGGACACACCATCTATCAACAAAAAGTTTTAGGATTTTAGCATGCAGCTTGAATTGCAAAACACTCACCCCAAACTATATTTTTTATTCAGATTCTCCCCAACCAACAGCAATGATACCAAGATCCCTGCATGTGGATAGCTCTCTAGGCGGCACGGTGGTGTTGAGGTGCAGCTTCTCTATGATGCCCGTTTCTCAAAGCAGCTCCGAAGAGGTCAGAATCCAGTGGATAAAGCTGCATTCGCTACTGGGAGACCAGGTGGTACTGGTGGCCCAAGGAGGGAGGGTAAAGTTTGGAGCAACGTTTGTGGACAGAGTGTCAGTGCCTACAAACCCCCAGTCAGTTCAGGATGCTTCACTGACGATCACTGGGGTCAGCAGGAGCGACTCCGGGGTTTACATCTGCAAGGTGACACATGGACTGGAGGAGACTCAGAGCGCAGTCAGTCTTACCGTCTCCGGTGAGTAAATATTCTGTTTGCTCTTTACAAGCAAATAAACAGACTGCTTTAAGAGTCCATAAACTCACTGATTGTCTCCAGATGTTTACTGCTGGCAGAGTTCAAAGCCAAAGGTGTTAACAAATGGACGAAGTAAAACTTGTCCACAAGCTGTTTTCTTCAAAGCGTTTTCCTTAAACATGTCCAGTCTGTCTGTTTTCTTACCTGTCATGTTAGAAGTAGAAAAAATTCTTTTGCTAGCAGAAAAACTGTCGGCATCATTTGCAAATGTTTAAAAATCTAAATAAGTAATTTTTTTCCTTAAAATAAGTGCATTTTTCTTGTACTGATCTGAGATACTTTGCAAATGGAACAAGACAATTTATATTTAGAATAAGAAAAAAACAACTACCTTATTTAAAGTGCATATTATCTAATAATTCTAAGAGTAAACAATCTCCATTGACAAATCATTTTTTTTTTATGTATTTCTAAATAGTTTTTTGCAGTGCAGCTTTTGCAGCATTTTCACAATCTATAGATCTTACTAGAAACCTGTGAACCTCCATTATTCTGTAACAATATGACAACAAATCTTTTTCTAACTGAGGTATCAAACTACGGACGCCGAGGGGGGTTGTACTCAACTCTTTTTTTTTTCCTTTGCCCTCTTGAGATAATGACATAACTACATAATTATCACGGTTGAACCATTAATTGTTTTCTCAAGATAACGAGATAATTATCTCGTTATCGCAAGAAAACATTTATTGATTTCTTGAGATAACGAGATGATTAACCTGTATGAGAAATGAACGATGCTGACCAACAGCCCTGGATTCCCAGTCCATCCATGCCTGCTTATGAATCAGAAGTGAAAGCCAATCATCAAACCAACAACGTCGTCTCGTTACCTAAAAGTTAAACACAGGATTATTTTCAGAATTAAAAATAGACTGCCATGACTTATACTTATAAATCCTCTCCCGCTGTTGTGGTATTGAAGGTTGTAATCAGTTTTAACTCACACCAATTATCTCATTATGACAAGAAAATGGCTTTTGTTGTATTTGAATAATGAGAAAATTTACTTGTTTTCTTGAGAAAATCACTGTAAAAAGGTATCGGAGGGACACGACCGCTCTGGGCTTCCATATCAATCAGAGAATAAGTATCACCTTTGTTTCTTCTGGGTTTTCTTTTTCTTTTTCTGTGGAGTGAGGTTAGTGCTTTGACCCCTGTACCTCAGCAATAACACCTGAAGTCTCATATGAGTGATTAGTATTCTAAATGATAATTTTCTGCCCTGTCTCTGCTCACTACTGCCCTCTTCTGTGCTGGAGAGTTAAGTCCCCTATCATTCCTATCAGCTGTTTTATGCCTCTTGCTGTGGTTTGCTTCAGTTTGTTCCAAGTCAGCAACGTCCCCTAATTTACATCCAAACACTCTATACTGCTGCGCTGTCCCTCATTCCTTGCTTCCTATCTATCCCCTCCATGGATGCAGCTAAATGAGATGCCAAATCGCTGCATCTCTTAGGCATAAACACCTTCTCTACAAACTCTCAGAAGTTCACAGGATTGAAATGTACTTATAAAGCACATTTACAAGTAAGGGGACTCCAAAGCTCTTTACAGTTTTTTTACACTACATTAATATAATTCAGTTCAATTCAGTTTATTTATATAGTTCATCATAACACGTCATCTCAAGGCACTTTCCAGTTCACCAGATCATACAGTCACATTGATTCAAAGTTTTCTATCTGAGGAAAACTCACTCTAAGCATGCTTGTAGCGACAGTGGAGAGGAAATACTCCCTTGTAACGGGGGAAACATTCAGCAGAATCAGTGTGAGTGGCCATCTACTGAGGCTGACTGGGTTTCAATGAGACAGAAGCAGACATACAGAGAGAAGCACAGATACAAAAGGTAACTGTGAACCAGCTCCACAGGCGGCTACATCCAGGAAACACACAGCCAGGAACAAACAGATTCTGCAGAGTGGGAGAATAGAGATAGAATGAAGCAGAATGATGGAAAGGGGTCCCTATGTCTTCCAGAAGTCTAAGCCTATAGCAGCATAACCATAGACATAGCTCAGGAGCTTTAGGTTTAATGTTGAATTTACACATTTACACCATTTCACACACTGATGATGGTAATCTGAGGCAGCCTTACTGACAGGAGTGAGGCTAGTGTACACAGACACCACCATCAGTAGGTAATGCAGGCGCAGGTTCACACAACGACAGGCAGAGCTGGGGTTCGAACTGGCGGCGAGAACCACTGTCGCCCCAACATGTTTCTGTAAAATGATGCCACCTGTGCATTAAATCCAGTCAAGAAACGTCATCTGTATTAAGCATTGAATGAGCAACAGTTGGTACTATTATAACAGTGGTTAATATTGAAAACAGACGCTTAGTCACAAAGTGGAAGGTTGCAATTAATAACTGGGCGGATTTCTGGAGAGTCAATTAACACAGAATTTGTGGCCTCAAAAACAGAGTAGAACACCTGTGTCAATCAAACCATATGGATTAAAAACTAGATGGATTTCAGCACAATGGTGTATATCAGAGGTGCGGCCAAGTGTTTCGTTTTTAAGTTCCAAGAAAATATAATTATTTGCCAAGTTTAAAATCAAGTCAAATAAGGAAATGACACAGCAAGTTTAAAACTTCAATTTCAAGTCCTTTTATGGACAAAGTTGAGTTATACGTAAATAATTTAGCATGTGGTATTAAATGTGCATTTATCTAAAAAAGTAATGAAAGCAGGAAAATTGTACATTTGCCAATAAGATGAATTTAGCCAAAGTGCGCCATCTCATGGATGCAAAAAAGTGCCAGGACCATTCTTAATTTCAAATGTCTGACAAAGTTGTTTTGTTTCCATCTTTCTTTCTTTACCTGCAGGTTTTTCATA